GCTCCTGCTCCTCCGCCCCCTCCTCCTCCTCCTCCTCCCCCCTCTCCTCAGGATCGACCCTGCTTAGTTTCTGAGGTGAGATAGGGCTACCCTGGCCTATCCAGGTCAGGGCTCAAGAACTTTACAAGATAATCACTTGGGACCAAGATAGACTTGGCATGGTGGCAATGTGAGTGTGTGCATAAATTTAGACCTCCCCTCCTAATGTGAGGTGTCTTCTAAAAAGTCCCAAATCCAACATTCTTTCCTCAGCCTCTCCATCCAAATGAATGGGCGAGTCCTATCTCGGAGTAGCTACTTCAAACCACACCTTTGCAGTGTGTATGGTCTTTAACAGGTAGTAATAATACTTTGGCCTGGATGAATCACAAGCGGGAATTAAGATTGCTAGGGAAAAGATCAACATCCTCAGATATGCAGACGATACCACTCTAATGGCAGAAAGGGAAGAGGACCTAAAGAGCCTCTTGCTTAGGATAAAAGAGGAGAGTGCAAAAGTGGGCTTGAAGCTCAACATAAAAAAAAACACTAAGATCATGGCATCCGGCCCCATCACTCCTGGGCAAATAGAAGGGGAAGTCGTGGAAGTAGTGACAGACTGCACGTCCCTGGGATCCCAGATCACCGCAGACTGTGACAGCAGCCATGAAATTAAAAGACGCCTGCTCCTTGGGAGGAAAGCGATGGCGAACCTCAACAGCATGATAAAAAGTAGAGACATCTCCCTGCCAACAAAAGTCCGCATGGTCAAAGCAAGGGTATTCGCAGTAGTCATGTATGGCTGCGAGAGTTGGACTATAAGGAAGGCCGAGCGCCGAAGAATAGATTCTTTTGAACTATGGTGCTGGAGAAGACTCTTGAGAGTCCCTTGGACTGCAAGAAGATCAAATCAATCAATCCTAAAAGATATCAACCCTGACTGTTCCCTGGAAGGCCAGATAATGAAACTGAAGCTCAAATACTTTGGCCACCCAATGAGAAGGGAGCACTCCCTGCAGAAGACCCTGATGCTGGGAAAGATCGAAGGTCAAAGAAGACGGGGACGGCAAAGGACGAGATGGTTACAGTGTCATTGATGCAACAAACATGAAATTGAGTCAGCTTCAGAGGACGGCGGAAGATCGGAAGGCCTGGTGTGATCTGGTCCAGGGGGTCGCAAAGAGTCGGACTCGACTGTGCGACTGAACAACAACAAAAATCCTGGTGGGACATGCCATCAAGTCACAGCTGAACTCTGGCAACCCCATCAGGTTTTCAAGGCAAGAGATGTGCAGAGGTGGTTTGCCATCGCCATGCTCTGGTTAGATACCCTGGGCTTCCTTGGTAGTCTTGCATGCAAGTACTAACCAGAGCCCACCCTGCTTGACTTCCAGGATCTGATGTGATCGAGCTAGCCTGGACCATTCAGGTCAGATGTGTAATCATCACCACTCCCTTATAAGGCTGGCGGCCAGTAACATTGTATACAGTAGCATCGGCCACACCCGCCTCCCCCCATATG